ATAGATATATATAAATATATATATATATATATATATATATATATATTATATATAATTATGTATACATATTGCAGAGCTTCGAACAAAGAATCTAACTAGTGGTGTATAGCATCGTGCCTTAAGGCAAATCGCTGAAACTTCCCGTAAGAATCATATAAAATGAATTACAAAATTGAAATTATTTATTTAAATTTTATAAGTGAGCTTTTGAACTTTATTCAGAATTAAAACTAAAATCTAAATTATATTCGATACACAAAAATTAAAAAAAAAAAAATCACAGAAAATTTCTTGAATCATTCAAATCGGATGTTCAGTTCTATCAAAAGTTGCCATTTTTGCACATTCAGCTCTATATCTCCAAAATAACTCGACCAGCCTTTGCCAAATACAGATCACTTATTCTTCCCATCAATAGAAATCGAATGTTGTTCGAACCATCCAAATTGGTTGATCCGTGCGACCAAAAACATAGACGAAATACTGCGGACATACAAAACTTACACACACACATCACTTTTTTCTGAGGTATGCCAAAATGTTCAGAAACCTGTGAAACGTGAAGATATGCAAAAATTTTCATTTTTGATTTTCGGCCCATTGCTATAACTTACTCTACGGGAAGTTAAAAAGTAATGAAAAAGAAAAAAAATTAAAAACCATCCACAGAAAGTAGCAGCATATATTTATACACTTCTTTTAATCTATGCCAAAACCAAAATGCCTTCACTAAAAACAAACAGATTCCACCCATTGAAAATATGAATGTGATTTGTTTTGAAATAACGTAATTGGTTAAACATTTCTCCACAAAAAATGATCCATAAACGCATATATATCCTAACACACCACTTCATCTTTGCTAAGTTTTGCCAAAACATTTAGATAATCTTGATATGCAAAATAACCTGTATAGTATTTATGTATAGAAGAATAGTCCATTCAAAGTTTTTTTAGCAATATCTATAACTTTAACGCTACATTAATATCAGTTTTGGACAATTTCCAGTACATTTCTATAGTTTTCTAGTATTTTCGTTTAAAGTTATTTTGACAAAAAAAGCTGAAATGAATTCAACATTTCATACAAAAGCCGATAATGCACGGGGCGCTGGAATATTATGCGCAACGGAATTTCCAATATTGGCAACGCTTCCGTTCGGAATGGACGCATCCGGTTTAACAATATCGGTAATATTAACGCGGAAGAAAATTATGTTTCGATAAAATACTATTTGAACAAAAACAGAAAATGGAACTATTTTAAAAAGGTGCGGTCATGTAGCATAAATTAAATGTTATAAAAAACCTCAAAGTAGTTCAATTGTGTAGTTTAAGAGGAAAATTCAGTAGAAAATGATCTAACATGACATCTGTAAATAAATCATGGTAAATGAGATATTAATTCAGTATTTGCACCAATACGTCAATCCAACGGCTGCATCAATTTCAAAAATGCCAATCCATTAAACTCGATAAGTACTCATTGATTAGTTTCATTCGACGGTCCTCCGAGCCGTTTCTTTATAATCAGCAGATAAGTGCAAAATGTGCTGACCACGGTTTTGCCACAAAACCTGATCCCATTTTCAAATTTCAAACGCTGTTCAAAAGTACTCAAGGCCTTCAAGGCCTATGAAAAAAGTATAATATAAATATTTATTAAAATTTGGAAAACTAAACCGTGCAAACCTTTTAAAAATTTTTCATCATAATTTGAAATATTGCAAAATTGAAAATCGCAATTCTCATTGATTAGGTCGATTATTTTCACATATCGCAAAGTTCATGCAATTTGCTATAAGGTAAAGTGTCACATACACCTAATTGAAATTTACTTTACTAATTATAGCAATTTAATTTTACTTGAATAACAAAAGGCCAAGATTGAAAATTTCTACGCTATAATCGTATATGCCAGTCATTCCCAACCTTTTATGGAAAGCCTCACCTTAAAGTTTCTAATAACATTATGCCTTCCCCCATACAAAATTTTGAACTTTGTTTTGAAAATTATTTTGTTCTTGAAGAAATGATCATGATAAGTTTTAAGAAGAAATTACTTTTAACATCATAAGTGAAATTTCAGAATATGTAATAAATAGTTGTATTTTATGAACGCAGTTACAGAAGTTAAGTTCCCCTTCGATAATTCAGGTTGTTAGGTTATAATTTAACCCTTGTAGCTGTGGACTGTATTAAACACTGATTTGTTTGTATATTATGTATCTGTTGCAGTTCTAATTACAATCACTGATTTGTTACTAAGTTATAATGAAAGAAGATATATTTATTTTTATTGGTTATTTACATGTTGTTAAGCGGCCTTTACATTTTGAAGTAAACAACTAGTTCCATTAAAACATTCCGCTACCCCCTCTACCAGGGGTAGCAACCATTCCGTGCAAAGCTTAATGCCCTGAAGTTTGTCACCTTCATGGCCAATATAATAAAACGAAAAGACGTCCGAACAATAGTTCTTAGTGATATTTTGCCATAAGGCAAGTTGCACGAACTTCTTGATATACGTAATAATATAGGTAGTGGATAGAACTAGATATTTAGCTATTCAGTTAAGTTTTTAACAACTTATAGTATTTGTAATTTTATTAATTATAAAACACGTGGTTTTATATCCTAAAAGCGCAGCCCTTTATTAGTACCAATTTTAATAAATTTAGACTCTATGCAATGTTGTTTACATAATGTTTACAATTAGAGACATGCAATAGATAAAAGTTTCAAATCAAAGTCATGATAATTAAATTAATTATTTATAATGTACATTAATTATTTATAATTGTGTTCCTTCAGAAAACTTAAAAATATATATTTAACTTATCTTAGGCAATACCTTTATTATTCTAACCAAGCTAATCTAATCTTTATTATTCGTGGCAGTGTGTATGCGTTCTAATTTGACCGAGTGCAAATTGCTTGCAACAACTTTATAATATTTGAAAATTTTTATGAGAAATTTGTATTCAATTGAAAATAACTTATTGATAGAATCAATTCACTTTAATGTGAAACGACAGCAAAAAAAAACTTGTCTAAAAAGGCTTCACTGAATTGACTTTGAATATTCTAGTTAATTATCATATTGTTTCTCATCATATTTAGAAGATTATATTTGGAATTAGGTGAATGAAAACAATAAAAAACTTTAATTTTTGATAATACGTCCCATTTAAATTATCTGTATGATTGATCCTTATTATAATTATAGTCCTTTAACCTTCCTCTGGATCTCTTAAGCCAATAACTTTAAGGACACAAAATTGTTTTGATGTTCTGGCAGTGCACCAGAATTCCCCGTCTCGCGGCATATTTGATTGCTGGAGGTTAGTCGGCACTCGGCAGTGTTATAGGAGTATAGCGGATGCCTCGCATGATTTGCATTGACCGATTAATCGCTATATTGCTTGTATAATATATGCCGGCTTGTTATATATTGGTTAGCAGAACTCACGGCATAGTTCAAAGGATAACCTCGGCCTCAACTGGCTGCCTATTCGATTGCCCGGGTTGCGGATGCGTCAGTTCCGTTACTTATTGCTAATTTCCATATGCTACTTCGATTCACCAAATGAAGTAAAATCATTTATACTGCTCAATTCGGTACATTTCATTTTTTTAAGTAAACATATAATTTCAAGTCGAATTATTTATAAATGATACAAATTCTATCTTTCACAGTATTTAATCCTAACAATTTTTAAAATTACCTGTTGTAAAAATGATTTTACCAATGTTGATAATTTAATTTTTAAAAGGTAAGTACAGAAGTTCGAGCAATAGATTAAAGCGGGGCTCAAAGATCCGCGCGTAAAAAGGTCCACCATGAATATTTCAAAAACAGGCAAAATTAAAAAAATAACAATATTTGAAAGTAGCAAGAAAAAAGGACCAACTAAGACCTTACACTTGGCAAAGGTATAAAAATTAGAAAAAAACAAATAAAAAAGTAATTAATTTAAAATAAGAATTTTTACAAAAATCTAATAAATTGTTATTCTAACTCTGCTGATGAATATTTCTGATAATATATAGACCATGAAGGTTAATTACAGCTAATTATCTTTGTAAAAATGCACCCACAAAATTTATATGTTGCTTGGTTAAATAATGTAGCTATTATTTTGTAATTACCCTTTTAAATTAAATTTAAGCTTGACCTATTAGACCCCTGGTCGTTCTAATTTACCCCGCCTATGGGGTAAGATCAAAATATTTTATTTGACATATTTTATTAAACATAAAACTTAAATATATAGTGCAGATGCTTTTTTTCTAGACTATTTTTATAGTTTTTTAGAGTAGTTAATTTGTCTTGTTCAATCTATATTCAAATGAAAAAAGATTATTGATTTTTTATGTATTTTTTGAATTTTTTAGAGATATAGTTAGCACACATTCAAATAGAAAAAAGATAGCAATTGTTGTTGTGATCGAATTTGTGAACATAGCATAAAATGAGATAATCGTTACCCCATTATCAATACTTATAATTATAATACTTAAATATATAATACTTATAATCATATAAAATAAGATATATTACACTGAAAAATACTCCGCGAGAAATGATTTCTCAAATAACTAAATTTTACTATTCTCGCTATAATACTAACTGAACCAATGAGAAACTTTTTGGGATTGTTAAGTGCATCTTTGTTAATTGCATGAAAGAAAGAACAAGTTTCAAGCCGCGCTGCCAGCGTTCGCTGTATATAATTGCATTGGAGTAATAAACTCTTAGTTTTTGTGTGAGAATACAAACTTTATGGACATTGAGTGTTCGATTTACTTAAAATAATAAAATGCAATTTAAAAATGTGATTTTCGTATGACGAATATAAGAATATTTTTAAAAAAGTATGAAAATATTCTAGCATCGGTTTCCAATACAAATGTGGTTATTAAAATTCATTTAGTTTCAAGTCTGAAGAATCATACTTTAAGTAATAGATATTTCATTAAAAGTTTAAATCACTTACCGAGAGTTCAGCCTCACAATATAATCGATATTCTGAAAAGAAAAGAATTGAACATTAGTTTGAATTGTTATATAAATTATACAGATTTACAATTACTTATATATGTATGTATATATCTACGTGTGTGTGTGCTTATATGCAGCCAAATGTTTAGTAGGTTCTATATTGATTTTAGGCCGCACGATGCCTAAGCCTAAGCTATCATAAATCAAGTCGGAAATGGCATTTAGTGAGCTTTCAACCCCTTGAACTGGCTAAATAAAGGACAGATATAAGTATGACCATATTGGTTTAAGTAGGTTAAGATCTAATGTATATATCTCATGTATATATAGAAGCACGTGTCACAAACCATGCCTTGATATCATTTTTGTATTAATAATTTCGCGAAAAGAAAACTTATGTTTTTGTCAGAAAATACGATTTGCAAAATGTAGAATTTACGCAATTGACAATAACAATTGGTCATATATTAAACCAGGTAATCATCGTTTTGTAGGTTAAAATTACTCAAAATAGTAAAACTAAGTTACAAATAAAACGTGTCAATTGATAATTTGTAAAATATAAAACTGACAAATATAAATAATTCCATACAGACAAATTTAATTGGTTCTATCCACGTGGAAAATATTTATTACAATGAATTGGGGTAAAATAATAGAACAAGCATATTATATTATTTGCAGTTGAAATATATAAATAAAAAGCGCATTGCGCATCCTGTCCTTCCAGTAAGCAATTGCAAATTTTATTATCATTTCCAAATGGTATAATATATATATATATATATATATATATATATATATATATATATATATATAAATACACAGACATCAGGGATAAATATTTCAGCAGTAAGTTGGTATGTCATGTATTTAATTCTCAACCTTCATTGCTTATAAACATGTAATTAAAATGATGATTTTAAGCAGAAGATTTTGATTTCACCGCTTCCAACAAACCCATTCCAAAGCAGAGCGTTGTGGTCTTAGACCATACTTAATAGACGGTCGTCAAATTACACTGTTAGTTCGTTAAGTACATACAAGAAGTAAGGGTTACTTTGAAGGGTATTTACTAATATAACTTGGGGTTAGCTCTTGATACAAGTTCACATTTACGCGCCCTGCAATTTGAAAGTCAATACCAAAGATCGTGCATTCCGGTCGCTTGGTTCAACGTCGAATATAATTGAAAATTATTATCTAATTGAACTTGATGCATGTACAACAAAATTTATAATAATTTGATCGCAGTAATTACAAATTTAAAATAATTAAGATGATAGTTTTAGTTTAATAAAATTGTAATAAAACTAATATATTATTAAATATACTTTCTATATTATGTTGAGGCTTCTTCTGAAAAATAATTAATAATATTATATACATATAATTATTAAAATGCTGTAAACATGTTTGAGTGTCTAAAGTACATGGCGTCTCCACCGTATCGCACAGTATGGAACTGCTTGAATTAGTATCAAAGTCATAAAATAACTAATCGACGGGATAGAAGTATCTTTTATCAATTTTACCAGTAAAAATATATTTTTTCTAGAGTAGCTTATGTACTCATACATAATCTACATAACTCATTTAAAACCAGTAACTAGTGAGCTCTACATTTTTTTGTCGTTTGTTTTGGTAATAAATATAAATAGTTTTCAAGGATTGCTGAAAAGTATATCTAATTATTTTGATATTACTTCTTAGTTTTGATATACTTCTTAGTTAATTCTTGCAGTGTTAAAATTTATAAACAGCGATATATATAAGTTTAGAGATTCGTGTATTTATAAATTCTTTTAATTATCTAAAAGCAATACTAGTTGGACATAATTGATTTTGCGTTACATCGGTTAGCAATTCCGTCATGTGTTTCAGAACGAGAAGTATTACATGAATTTCTGTACATTATATGCAAATACTTAATATTGAATTATATGCAACAAAGTTTTTCTCAATCTATTTAATAGATTTTATGTAATATTTTCATAATTACATAATTTCATAAAAACAATAACTGCTAACTAGTCTCACTAAGCTTTATTGAAATTATTAAAAAATTACCATGTGTTCACTCTTGAGTAAATGTTTATGTAAATTAAACATTTATAATAAAAAATAACAAAGACATATTTGCATGATTTTAGATAACATTTTATGTAACTGCAATAAATAAGTAAATTTTAATTTAAATAAAGCTAAAACATAATATATTTTTAACTGCAATTAAACGCGCGAATTAAATATAGATAAATTCTCATTTGTACTGTTATTATCCATTACTTGAAAAGTATCAAAACACTGTTAAGTAAGGTATTAGAGAATGATTAAATGTTTATATCACAGAAAAAAATCATTGATTCATATTTTATACGTCAATGTAATTACATTTTTTATTGTAAAAGATAAAAATCGATTTTTTTCCTAAATATATATTGCACAATATTTTAAAAATATGTGAGAAACATGTCTTTTTAATGGAAATGCATGACAAATCATAATCAATATTTAACCTAGTAAACTTAATGATTGAAGAAATATTATTATTGTTATAATCGACTATCACATATGAGCATTTAAAAATGTTAAATTAGATTTTTAAAATATTCCTCGCCAATCAAGCAATAAAAATGTCAGCAAAAACATCTAAAATTTTGTTGTTGAGATAAATATTAAATGTGTTAATCATCAGGTATATCAATTTGACTTCAATTTGTCGGGACTACGGAACTACATAGAAAAATGCAAAATATATTTTGAAAATACAGATATATTACTATTATAGTAAAAAACAAAGTTATCTGCATGATATGATAGTCAAACAAAGTCTACTTTATATTACAACGACGTTTCTCCACCAAGGACATTCTCTATTTCCCTACAAATGTGTCAGTCAGTCTAAAGCAGAGAAATCTTATGAGGAATGTAAATAGTATATCATAGTTATTAAAATCAGTTATATTATGGAAATTAAAAGCAATAAGTCAACTGTACTACATATAGACACTTTAAAGATCAAAGAAAATTTTTTTTAGAACAAGGACTACGTTTTTCTACCAAAAATATTCTCTGTTCACAAATGTGTCAGTCAGACAAAAGTGAAAGCATTTCATAACAAATATAAATCTGATATCAATTATTAAAATTATATAACACAAAACTGAACAAATCAATAATAACAATTCAAATAGATTATAGTTGCCACATATGGGCAACTTCAAGAGCCAAACAAAATATATTTAGAGCATGTGTCAGACAGTCAAAAGCTAAGTATTTCATAAGGAATATCAATCTGATTTCTAAATTATATATATTGTACAATTATACAATCAGATATATTACAAAATACGAAAAAATAATAATTAGGCATCTGCATGATAATTGTACACATGGGCATTTTAACGAAAAATGATTTAGAACACAAACGACATTTCTTGCTGCATAGGATATATCTGTATTTTTCTTTTTCTCTCGATGGATGCCGGTCAGTCAGAAGTGAGAACATCGATTGAGGAATGTAAATATGATATAAGTATTACTAAAGTAAGACACATTACGAAATAGGAAAAAAATAACTCAGCTGCAGGATAGTTACACCACATATGGGTACTTTCAAAGGTCAAACGAAAAATTATTCAGAACAAAAACGACGTTTCTCTTCACCAAGGATATTCTCTATTTCCCTTTAAAGGTGTCAGTCATTCAAAAGCGGACCGGTCTGGTAGTCAGATAGTCAGACCGTTTGCTGTTGGGGGAATCGCCTGATCACGCGATAACGCGAAGACTTCACGACTCTGAGCATCCGGTTGGAGCGAAGGAAGTCGAAAGAACGCGCCGCAACGTGCACGCGATGCTTCCTAGCATTATCCGATTTTCAAGGAAAAAGGAGACGTTCCTATATCGGCCACTCGCCCCGTTTTGCCTAGCATTCCAGATTGAAAGACTAGATAGCGTTTTGTGTATGAAAAGAAATATCTAGCCGAAGTAATGTAGTGGTGTATTATTTTGGAAAGAAAATCGTTAGTGCGATTGTTTGAAAAAAATTTCATTATTAGCTGGTATCAGCTGAGTGCAATGAAACATTTTTTTTCAAAGGCAATTATTTTGTTAAAATAAGTAGACAGTTTATTGAATCATTCAAATCGGATGCTTAGTTCTCTCAAAAACTGTTTTTGCCAAAAACTAATTACTACTTTCTCCCCATTATTATGTATTGAAAGATTTTTGGATAATTCAAATCGGATACGTTCTCTCAAAAACTCGATTTCTATTTTCTGCACCTTTTGATCCGTATCTTTGAAACGGCTGGACCTGGCTTTGTCCTAAAAAACTAATCAGTACATCTCCATATCAATAGCAATGTTTTTTGAAACATTCAAATCGACTGATCCGTGCGCCCGAAAATGTCGACAAAAAATTGTAACCATACATACATACACACACACATTATTTTTTTCTGAGGTATGCCAAAATGCTCAAAAACCTTCAAAACGAGAAGAAATGTAAAAATTTTCAATTTCGATTTTTGAACAATTACAATAACTTACCCTGCGGAAAGTTAATTAAGTCAGGATATATTTAAGTTTTATTTCGCTAATCATAAAACTCAAATTAAAGTATAGTACTAAATTTATCAACAATTGGCTTCGACATAATAAATTATAATTTAGATGGACTTTGTATAAAGCTACTTACCATTACCTTCGGTCTACAAGAGTATCAGAAATAAAGAAATTTTACAAGACACTTAAAATTTTTTTGAACGAAGTTGCTTTTTACGGTGTTGATAAATGAATAAGTTATTAATTATGAGACATTTTGATCCCAAGATCAGACTAAGTTAAACTTGACGTTCTAGACTAAGTAAATCTAAGACGGAGTCATAGTATTATCCTTAACTATCCTGGAAAAAAATCTCACGTTGTTTGAAAATTATGAGCTTTTAGGTGCAACCCAGAGGTTTGGTCAGATTATGACAATTTTTCGGTTATTGTAGTTGATATTAAATAAATTTGTTTGCC